CCCCCCCCCCCCCCCCGGCCCCACACGCACACACCCTTTGCTCTTCCAGCATTTCCCCAGGGCATCCCCTCTAGGTTGAGGGGGGTGATAATCTCCTCTGATCCCCCCTCTTATCCCTGCAGCACCCTCTCAGAGCATCTCCTCTAGGTGGTGGGAGGTGACAAACTCCTCTGATCTCCCCCACCTTTGCTCCTGCAGCACTCTCTCCCCACTCCCGCATTCCCTCTAGGCTGCAAGGAGGTGATGATCCCCCTCCCTCCCCTTTGCTCAGCTTGGTGCCTTAAGCACCTAGTCCCAGTTGGACTTCAGCAGGAGCCAGGCCCTGAGGTGCTCCAGTTGGTGTAGTTCTGGAGGGTCCCCAGAGAGTCCCCTGTCTGGGCAGATCCAGAGGCTGGTGGGTGTTAAGCAGACAGTTGTGTGCTCAGGCACTTTTGGGTCCACTAGAGTGCTTGCTTTGTTCTCATCTGAAGGGACCTGCGTAGCTCTGCTAAGAGGTCAGTCAGTACGGGATGGTTTGGGATAGGGATGATCCTGCCTCAGGCAGGGGATTAGACTAAATCAGTGGTTCTTGATATCAGTGAGACTAGATTAGTGGAACTCTGCCAGCTTGCAAGAGAAAAGCCACACTTTCCCACTTTTTTCTCATTTAAGGAGAAGCCAGTTTTAAAGTTTGTTGATCCACTTCGAAAGGTTGTTCATGACACTTTCATATATTCTTGTGACCCACTTTTGGGTTGCAACCCATGGGTTGAGAAATGCTGGACTAGATGACCTCTCAGGGTCCCTTCTTGTCCTGTTTCTCTGTGATTCTACAATTCTCAGGCTGCACTCTGTTGCCTCCCTATCTCCAAACTGCTTGAGACTAGGATTTCTTAAGGTGCTGGTTTTTATGGGAGCGGTTGCATGGCTGGGCTCATGCCAGGCAAGCTTTTCAATTCAAGACATTCTGCCTCCAGTCTCAGGCAATACAGGTTGAGGGGCTGCGGGAGATTCCCAGGGGGAGCCCATGCAAGGATAGAAGCCGAGGACTGGAAGATCAAGGCTCATGGAAAGGGAGAATGCATGGGTTGGGCTCACCTTCCTTGTGTGGAAAGTGTTCTGAAGCTGGATAAATTATAATGGGCCATATGGCCACTATCAGTGTTGAGTCCTTTGTTTCATAGTGTCCAGCCAGCTTACAATGTTTTTGTTCCCAATTTATCTTTGAAAGGTGTTAGGTAGGTTTCCCAGACAAGAGTGGCTGTTCTGTGAGAAATGGGATGCTCTGGTGACAAATGTGCTTGAAAGGAATCAATTCTGATGAGGGATGGGCTCTCTGACAGCCCCTTTGGACAGCTGGAGCTACAGGTGACTGTGCATACATGGTTTGCCATATGGATTTGCCTTTCCAGCAGATGTCAGAGAGATGACGTGTGTGTGTGGTTATGTTTTTTCCAGGGATCCACAATACTTGTTCTTGAGTCACTGTTCAGTAACTCTCCCTGCTCTCCACAGCCTCCCGCAAGATGGGCCATTAGGGTTCAAAGCAATTAAGGAAGAGGGAAAAAAAATTGTGTTCCCCTGTATTAAAAAGCCGTTTTCCCCTATATTGAATTACCTGTACTTTCGTGCCATACAACCATAAAGGGTAGAGACAGAAAGGTCTTAATAGATCAGCAACTCATCTCCGTTACAGAATGTGCTCCCTTAAAGAGGAGTTATCTTTTTCAATTGCTGTCATATGTTATATTATTCCCAAAGGCACTGTCACTCATATTTTTCAGATCAAGTTAAACAGGACTTTGCCATATTGCTTATTTTTTAGGATTTTTTATTGCACTTGCAACAGTTTGATACCCACCCCTCCAGCCTTATTTGCCAATGGATGATTGTTTTTAATACATGGAGGATGATGTGAAATAGAAGAGAGCAAATAAGGCACCTTCTGTGCAGCTTGGCTCTCAGTTCAGTATGGCTGTTCCAGAAAGAGTTACTGTGCAGGTTAGGGAATGCATTGGCAGAGATGTGGATTGCTGTAAAGCCATAAAACACCTGCCCTGTCCAGCATAAGTTTTTATCCAGGGATGTAACTCTGTTTCATCATGCTCCATGAATGTTAAGAATCATCCCCATCCTTTCATGTCCCATGAATAAATAACTTCTGATTACTAGCATTTATGTTATGATATGACTATAAGTCCTAAGCATGGATCAAGACACTTTGTTCTGGATGTTGTAAAGTACATAGTTAGAGCTGGTTATGGAAATACATGCCTGCCCATTGCACTTGATTTGTGGCAAAGTCTAGTGGTGTGAACTTAATCCTGGAAAGGAAGCAAAGAATGTCTCATACTGCTGAACAATGATCTCTCTCTGTCTCTTAATGTGGAGTGACTTGGTACTCTTCTTAACTAGACCTTCTGTCTGAAGCATGATGACTGACACTTGAAACACAGGTGTGTCATGGGGGAGTGAATTTGGTTACATATCAACTTGGCGCTCTTTTTTTTTTTGAATGAATGCATGAATCACATTTTCAGAGCATTATTAATGACAGTGCAGCAAAGAGAGAGGTTCAACAGAAAACAGGCATTATACCCTGGACTGCATTTGTAAGAAACCTGGTATTGTGAAAACTCT